CCATTCATTTTCCTCCAAGATTCCCTACTTCTCATAGGGTTTTTTGACACAAGGCCTATGATGGGAAGGGGAGCGAAAGGACGTCCTCAGGGAAGATGCCTCCCGACTCCAGCAGACTGCAAGATGCTGCTGAATGTCATTTCCCAGGCCCCCCTGCAACTCAGGGTGGCTACATGACCTGCCTGTGGCAGGACAAAGTGACGCTCAAGACTTCTGAGCCTTGTTCCTTCAAACCTTCTCTTCTGCCTGGCTGGAATAAAGATGAAACATGGGATAACCTTGAGACCCACATGCTATGACTCAGCTTGAGTCCCAGAAGGACTGGAGGAGGGGACCAAACAGCTCTGGGCTGTGTATTTGTAACATTTTGTGTCTACAGTAGCTAGGGTTGCTCTAACTAACATATCTGGCTTCAGTTGGTTACAACATGTAGCCTTTACCTTTGAAAATGTTAATAGTTATATGTGGTTCCCCAGAAACTCAGTGTTGTCACAACTTAATTCATGGTTTATCTGGAGAGAATGCTTCTGACCAGTATTCTTTCACATTGGGATCCATTAGTTCTTTGTTTCCATTTTGTTATTGTTGCTGGCTGGAATTAGATTTTTGAACTAGATTTTGCAGGAAGGCTCTGTTAGAATTCCTGCATGCAGCCAGCTGCCGGTGGCTCACACTTGTATTCCTAACTACTTGGGAGACTGAGATTAGGTGGACTGAAGGTCCAGGCCACCTTGGGTAAAGGAAAAAAAAAAGTTTGCACGACCCCCATCTCAAGGGGAAAAGGATAGGTGTGGTGGTGCACACCTGTCATCCCAGCTATGGCAGGAAGCATAAACAGGAGGATCATCCAGGCTAGCCTGAGCAATAAGCAAGATCCTGTCTCTGAAATGAATGAAAGGGGCTACAGGCGTGGCTCAAGTGGTAGAGCACCTGCCTGGCAAGTGGGAAGCGCTGAGTTCAAATCCCAGGGCCACCAACAAATGACATGCAGAATACAGAATGACTTTGGGGGAAGGCATCTCTTTCCATCCATCCTCCACTTTTCAGTAGACATTGGCCCACTGTGTGTTGTATGGAGCAGCTCAAGGTCAGCCTGTGTCACCATAAGAAGCCATTTGAGTGACACTCTCAAATTGTCATGGAGGTGAGTTTAATACAAGAATTATTTACAAGGTGTGGGCCAGTGTCACTGTCAGTGACATCCTGCCCCCCTACACCACCACCAGATTACACATGTGAGAAAAAAATATGTGCTCTAATGGCAAAAGTTACTTCCCACTACACCTGAGTGCCTTTCTGACCGTCTGCTGCAGGTATTGTCTAGCCATAGCAGAAAGCTTAGCTAGGTATGTTGAACTAACTAAGAATGGCAGGAGGTTAATGGCCTGGAGGCAATCCGCAAGCAATATCAGAGGGGACTGGAGCTAGAGGGCTTACCCAGCATGCCCAAGGCCCTGGATTCAATCCCTAGAACTGTACAACACACACACACACACACACACACACACACACAATGAGCAGATAAGCCCCCAGTTTCTTCACTCCTCATCTGGATTAACTCTAAGCCACATTTTCCATCACCTCCCAGAGCCCCCCAGAGGGACTGAGCTCCAAGCTCCCTTTTCTGGATTCTTCCACTTCCCTGCCTTATTTCGCATTTTCCTTCCTGTGTTGCCTGGAATCCTTCCCAAATAAACTCCAAACTTTGTCTCAGGCTCTGCTGCTGAAGAATCCCTAACCCAGAGAGTAGGGTTTAGGGAAAACACCACTGGGTAGTATAGTTTCCAGAGCTGGTAACAAAAGGAGCTATTGCTTGGGGAACGGGAGAGGGAGGGACCTGGGGAGAGACCATATGGAAAGGAACGCCCACCAGGAGTCATGGCCTTGGTAGAGAGACATAGTCACTCCAGTGACTGGGCAGGGAGGGAGAGGCCTTTCCTTCCTCTCACTTTCTGATCTCCTGGCAGTGCCCATTATCAGCCAAAAGCCATCAGAAGCCAGAGGGCAAGAGAGGCCATGGTGTTGTCCACATGGTGAAGCTTCAGGACACAGAGCTGTGGCAGAGGGTGGGGCATGTGCTGGAGGAGCACACAAATGACTTGGGATGTGCAGCCCAACTCTTCCTGTTATCTGATCTACCTGGAAAGAGAATTTCAATGGTTTAGGGTCTGGGAAGGGCTTCCCAGGTGCCAGGATGGAAAACCAAGGTGCAGAGGCTGAAGGTCTAGGCTGGTAGGAGCCAGCATTCCTGTTACCTACCACCACCTAAGTCTGCCCACCCCCTACCCCCAACCAAACACCAGCTAAAAATAACCATTTGATTATACATCACAATTTTATAGGTCAGGAATGCGGGCTGGGCTCAGCTGGGTAGCTTTTCTGTTCCACACGATATTGACAGAAGTCAGATTTCTAGCTGGCACAGCTGATCTGCAGGGTCCAACATAGCGACATGGGAAGGGAGTTGGCTGAAAGATGGGGCGCAACTGAATTGCCAACTAGAGCAGCTGACCGTGGACTCTTCAGTATGACAAAGTCCTCTTCTAGCAGTTCAGGTTTCCTGAGAGACTGTTCAAGAGGTCCCAATAGAAGCTGCAAGATTCCCCATCCCCACACCCCACCAGGCAAGGAAGTACAGCAGTTGCTTCTGCCACATTCTACCAAACAGTTCACTCAGGCCAGTTCAGGTGTGGGAGGTGGACAATTTAGACTCCATCTCACAAATGAGGAATAGCAAAGAACTTTCCATCACCTTGCTGGGCCAGCAAGTCATCCAGGAAAGCAATGGGACTGATTTTGGAGAAAGATTTGAATCTGATGACAGAGGCTGAGGAGACAGTATTGAGGTAGACAGTGGATTCCAGAGTCAGATACAGATTCAAATCCCAGCTCTGCAATCCACTCCCAAGCAGACCACTCTTGAGGCAGGTTAGGATTAGGGAACGTTTGGGGCTTCTCCCCCTCCTGACTCAAAGAGCTCCTCCTCCTAGCCCACAGATCAGAGGAGCCAGGTAATGACATACTCTTTCCCCACTTCCAAGTTCAAGGTGGTATAAAATGACCTAACAAAAGACCCCAGCCCTTTTTTTTCTTCTTTCACCATGGTGCCTCCTTTCACCTGGCAGAGCTGGTGATTCCCCTTCCCTTAGTAAAACTTTTCTACCTCACCACATCCATGTGTTCTGTTTGGATTCTTCCATGTCAAAGCACAAGAACCAAGATCTTCTGGAAATACCTTCTGCCGTTAAACACTCTGAGCCTCAGCATCCTCTGCAGAATGAGAACAGTTTGTGCTTCACAGGGCACCTGGGCTGAATAAATGGAATGGTATTTATAAAGTGTTTCCTACAGTACCTGGAACCAAGGCTGTATCAACACACGGCTATGTTGTTAATTTATCCTGAGTGACACAGACAGATCTTGCACAAAGCTACTCTGAAGCCTCAGCAATGTATTAAAAGGATCATTTTTGACCCATGCTCTCCCTCACTCCCACATACAGTCCAGCCTGAAGTCCAGCTGATTTTGCTTCCTACATGTAGCTCAATCTGAGCCTTCCATCCTCCCTTACAATCACCACTGTCTCCCACCTGGACTAAAATTGCTCCTTCCTGGTCTCCCACCCTCACTCTCAGCCCTACAATGCCCTCCCCTTGCCTGTGCTGTGTACACAGATCCCCTTGTGTATGCCATCCATACAGGGATGGAGTCTGAGAGTGTGCATTTGTAATCAGCTCCCCTGCGGTGTTGGCGCTGATAACTTTGGACCACACTTTGAGTAGCTGAACGATATTTTTTTTCCAAATAAAAGTTTAATCCTGTCTTGAAATCACTTAGAACCCTCAGGGGAGAGACCAAACCCCACTGTGTCCTGTGATCCCTGAATGATGTAGCTCCTATCTGACTTGATGGCATCTGCCCTCCTCTTGCTTATGGATTAGTTCACTTATTTATAATAGAATGAAAGGAAACCAGTACTGGAACATTACCAATAAACTGACTGTCCCTTGTGCTCCTCCCCATTCCTTCCCCTCTTGAGACAAGCATTCTTCTCTCATTTGTGCTCATCTTTCCCTTGCTTTTCAGGTTTTCCATGTACCTACCCTGCTGATTTTTGGTTTTGTTTTTTATGTGTTAGAAAAGTTACACCATAGTGTGTGCAGTTTTCTACAACTAACTTTTTTTCACTCGACATTGTTTCTGAGTAGATGTGCTGTGACTTGTGGCTGAAGTTCGCTCCCTTTCACTGCTGTGTGATATTCCTTGGTGTGGATATTCCACCTGTAGACAGGCATTTGGTGTTCTTATTTTGAACTTATTTTGAGTACAAGTTCTTTTTTGAACAGTGTTGGTGTGAACATTTTATGCAGGTCTCTGCACCTGCACAGATTTCTCAGGGCAATTGCCCACAGGGAGATACACTGTGTCCTTCTTCCCCTGTGTCTCCAGCCACCGGCCACCTCCCCTCATTCCCAGATCGCTGGAGTCTCTCACACAGTCTGAACTTGCTCTCCACCCGGCTGCCCTCTTCCACTCCACCCCACCCGCCCCATCCCCTTCACCTGGCGAACTCCAGCAGGTCCTAAATCCAGGCTGGGGTTCCATTAAATCTAATTCTACACTTTTGTCGTGGGACTTTGCGGTGAGCGTGGGGCTGGCCCACGAGGCTCCTGATGCTCTCCGGTTCTGGCCTCCAGCTGGGGCCTGCACACAGTAGGCGCCCAGGCAGCGGTGGAAGCGTCAATGTCGCTGGAGGGGCCGGGAGGGGACAGAACTCGAGGAGGTGGCTAAGACCGCACTCGCAGGTGGCTCATGCCAGACTTTTCGGGTGAGCTGCAGCCCACCAGGCCCCGGGCGTCCGGAATTTCAGGAAATGCGCGGCCCGGGCCCGCTGGCGGGGCGGGGCCTCCGGCAAGGGGCGGGGAGGGGGCGGGGCCCGGGAGTGGGCGGGACAGGGGCGGGGCCCGGGCCGGTAAAGAGGAGCTTGGCGGGCCGCGGTCGCTGAGGGCCCAGGGGGGAAGCGGACCCGCTGCGCGCCCGGGGGAGACCCACCGAGGTTCGCGGAGGGAGCAGCGCCGGGACGCACGCTTGGCACCATGACCCAGACACACGCCTTCGCCAAGCCCAAAGTGAGCGCGGGCCGGGGCTCGGGGGCCGGGGTCCCGCCTCTGATCTGTCCCAGGGTTTAGGGGGTCCCAGCCCCAGACGGCCTCATCCCAGAAGCACACCGGGGTTCCTGCAGGCACCCTCTTCCCTCTGCTCTAAACTTGGGTCGCCTCCAGGCTGTTTAGTGAGCGACAATGAGGCAGAGAGCGTCCAGAACCCGGACGCGCTCTGGCGGGCCTCCAGGTTCTGCCTGTGATCCAGACTTGTCCCCTCTGGGTCTCAGCCTCACCGTCTGCCTAATGGGCACCTAGTTCCGTGGAGCTGAGTATCTATGTGAGCTCAGACAGGGGACCTGACGTCTGGGAACCTCAGTAATGAAGCACACGAGGTCCACGTCCTTAGGGACCTAGAGTTGAGCCTGGTGAGTACTGAGCACTCCATGAAGTGGCTTTATGTTTCTACACTGTGATGGTTTTACGAGCACCGGGGAACCCAGGTTTGTGGATGCGCCCGTGGGAAGAACTGTGAGCCACGCCAGAAAGGGGAGGGTGGCAGCTGGGCGCGCCCTTCCCCCACACTGGGGCCTGGGACTTGGGAGAGCTGGGGGAGGGGTCCCTATCCACCCTGAGGGCGCAGGCCTTTGGCCACAGTATGGTTCATTGGGACAAGCCACAGGCCACTTCACCACCCAGCAGCTGTGGCATCTCGGGAACAGTAGGGTCAGGAAGGATCTGGGTCCACATGGCCTGATTTGCAGCCCTTACAGATTCTGTCCAGGGAAGGGCAGACCCAGGAGTCAGCCAAGCAGAGTGAACTGGCTAGTATGGGTATGAGGCTGGGGCCAGGGGAATCAGAGGCAGTCAGCCTCAACTTACTCCTTTAGGAATAGAAGTGTGTGATGATGGCAGACATCACAAACGTGTTGGTAAGAATCTACTGGGCAGGAGAAGCCTGGGTACACATGCCCTCACCACAGGAAAAATGTTCCCCCTACTCCCTGTCAGATGTTAGGATGCTGGGGCAAGCCCTCCCACTCCAATTCATGTTCCCCTCACATCTTATCTGTATGCCCCTTCCCATCCCCCAGTTATTGGCGTCACCTGCTCGCCCTGGTCTCTCTGTACCCTTGGGTAGGAGAATCACTTACCTTGATGTGAATTCTAAGGCAGTAGGAGTGAAGCAGGACTTACAGAGTGAATAATAGGTCACTCTGCTATAGAACTTGCTATAGCAACCTGTCCGCTCCTTGTGATACTTTTCTAGCAGCCCTATATGGAAGCACTAAGATTATGGTCCCTGGTTTTGGGAACTTGCCCATTACTCTCATCTGATTTATGCTAGCAGGTCACTTTTCCCTCTGGTCCTTAGATTCCACACCTGGGGAATGGGGAACTACCTGCTTGCACAGGTATAGTGATGCTGGAGCATAAAGGTAGAGTGTCACCTGCTATGTCTAAGGTGTGACAAATCTTATGTCATTGTGAGGAAGAAACACTACTGGAGCTGACAGGAAAAGTGGGAAGGAGCCACTGTGACCTGGTAAGCTCTGGGCCTGACTTTGAGGAGTCAGATACTAAGTAACTATTAGTATCAATAGCTGAAGCTTACTGAGGGTGGATTGTTCTGTGCCAGGCACCTGCTTAAACATGGTAACTGTGTAAGTCCATTTGATTCTGGTAATGACCATAAGGAGGTAGTCAGTGTCATCCCCATTTACAGTGGGGAAACAGGATCAGAGAGCTTAAGTAGGCCCAAGATCAGAACTTGGCTAGGAAGTACCCAGTTTGGGGGTTGAACTCATGGAAGGCTAGCTTCAAAATTCCACACCCCTAAGCCTCTTGTGTGGTGCATGTCTGTAATCCCTGCTATTTGGGAGGCTAAGGCAGAAGGATTTTGATCTTTGGGCTAGCTTGGGCTACATACCTCAAAAAAATCTGCTGGGCATGGTGGCCCACATCTGTAATCCCAGCTACTCAAAAGGCAGAGATTGGGAAGATCTCTGTTTGAGGCCAGCCTAGGCCAAATATTAGCAAGACCCCATCTCAACAAAAAAGCTAAGCATAGTGGTATGCCTTTGTCATGCAGCTATGCGGGAGACTGGAGGCCGAAGTAGGAGAATTGTGATCCATGCTGGCCCCAGGCAAAAAAAATGTAACACTCCACCTGAAAAATAAAAGGGCTGGAGGCGGGGCTCAAGTCGTTGACTGCCAGTCTAGCAAGCATAAGGCTCTGAGTTCAAAGCCCAGTACCGTCAAAAAGGAAAAAAAAATCCCATACCTATTTTCTGAGCTACTCTGTTAGGAGCCTTGGAGATGGAATGCTAGCATCTACCTCCTGAGACAGGGGCTTTTGCTGAGTTCTTTGGCTGGGTCCAGCCAAGAATCAGACCCTAGCCAGGTTTAAGAAAGTAGAGCGGGATGGAGCTTTACAAATGTTAACTTGCACTCAAATCACGTGGCTTTGAATGTTTGGGATCTGATTGAGGAGGTCTGAGTGGGGCCTGAGACATTTCTGTCTAGCTCCCAGATGGTGCTAAGGTTGTGTCATTCCAACAAATGCTTCCTCCGTTCTTGCTGGGCACTGGAGAAAGTGGGAAGGAGGATGGGTGTGTGTCCCTTATCACCTTACGTCCACACCAACAGGCTGGAAAATCCTGTGGCCCTTGGGTGTTCCATATGTGGAGGGAGATGCTGACCACATGTCTATTGTCCTATCCTTGCGATGGTCCTGGGTCCTCGCCCCATCAGCAACCATGTCACAGAATTGTGGATGACTCCACAAAACATCTCTCTTCATCCTTCTTACAGATGAAGAAACTGAGGACAAGGCAGGTGAAGGGACTGACCTAAAATCCTCAAAATCTGCACCCCTTGCAACCATAATCTGATAGTGAAGCCGCCCAGGCTGAGGAGACTTCATTTCTAATCTATCCCTTCCTTAGGCAGAGGGTGACAGGGGCTACACAAAGCACCAGTGTGCCTTTTCTTTCTCACATTTGAATGTTTTCTCTACCAGGCACTGTCACTGTTCTAGCTGCTTTGCATATAGTAATCCATTTCATGCTTACAACACTCCTCTGAAGAAGGTCCTGTTATCTTCATTTATATTGAAGGAAACTCACCCAGTGAGAGGAAGGAATTAAGTCACACAGCCAGTCTAGCAGAGATAGGACTGAACCCAGATCGACTAAAAACTCCAGCAGGTGCAGTAGAGGCTGTTAGCTGCTTTGTCAACTTGCCACTTTCTGAGAAAAAAACAAACCAAAGCAAAACAAGGAGGACATGGTGGGGGGGGGGGCGGGGAGGAGTTAGAATCAGGTCAGCCACATGGGCTAGTACCAGCCTGAGCTGCAGACAGGTTGAATCCCTGTCTTACCACTTGCCTACTGAATCCTCAGATAGACAGGTCTTGAAATCTGGCTTCCTCCTCTGTAAAATGGGATGAAGACCCCAATGGCCTGGGGCACCTGGGACAAACTGATGTGCCATTGTTTCTATAGCACAGGCGCCTGCTGGCGCCAGCAAGCACCCGGGTGTGCATTTCCTTCCTGGGGGCTGTGTGGACTTGGAGGCCTCCCCACCTATTGTCTTCCTGAGACAAAGCCCCTCGGTATATACTTCTTTGGGCTCAGAGTGCCTTTCAGTCACCACAGCCACCTGTTGAAACCAAAGTGGTCCTGGGAAGAGCCTGCCTTACCCACTTTTACCCATGTGGTAGATGGGGGTGAGAGGAGCAAAGGGGATTGGATTTCATTGAAGCCTTTTGTTTGACAGAAGAGGAACCAATGACCAGAGAGAAGTGGTCTGTGGTCATACAGGGAGGCAGAGAGGCCAGTCAATCTCCTGATTCAATATCCAACCTCAGCATGGGAAGCGGCCCTGCAGATTGAGAGAGACTTGTCCACCTGCCCAGGTGTCTTGAGAGGGTCTCTATGGTACCCCCTGGGGTAGGAGGAGGAGCACTGTAGTCAAGCCTTAGACAGAAGAGAAGAACAGACCGGGGTGGGGGGGTGCCCAACGTGAGGTTTGATGCTGCATTTACCCATGGTGTTAGGCATGAAGATAAACCTGTCCTTAAGTGTGCCTGACAGAGCAGCTGCCAGTAGAATAGCCTCTGTGGTTCTGTGACCAGGGAGGCAGAGCAGGAGTTTGAACTTGGGTCTTAAGTTGGGGCTAAGACTGTCTGGGCCTGAATCCTTATCTCCCTCTTAACTAGTGATAGAGCTTGAATGAGTCACTTAACTTTATGGTACCTCAGTTTCCCCCTGTGAAATGGGAATCTACCTGTTCCTTTCTCACAAACTCTGGCAGGCCAGTGAAAGCTGCCATTGATCAATGGCCCAGCACCTTGCAGGGCAGGATGTGGGAAGCTTGTCATAGAGGTGAAAACTTCCGGTTTTAGAGTCACACAGCTTCCTGGCTGTGGTGTTCATTAGTCTGTGACACCCATTAGACTTTTGTGACCTAAGACAAGTTCTTTAATCTCTCTGAGCCTCACTGCTGTCACCTATGAAGTTGGGGATAACTTGGCTGCATTCTTAGGCTGTTGCCCCATGTGACTTCCCTCAGGTGAAGACATATCTTGCTGTCTGGGAAACCTCAGATGGGGGCGGGAGGGGGCTCACTGTCAGTCCCCAACGCAGTAGGAGACACTGAGAGACTGTTTGGCCTCTTCCAGTCAGTGCCTTGGAACTGTAGGAGCCCAGGTAGGCTGAGCTTGGAGGGCTTCCTAAGGGAGGTGGTGCTGGCAGTGGGCATCTGTGGCTTGTCTGGGTTCTGGCTGCAGTACTCAGAGGGTCCAGGAATACTCAGGCAGTCCTGGCTACTCTGCCCTGATTAGATTCTCTGCCAGGCCCAGGAAGGGGAAGTCAGCCCCTCCCTCAAACAAAGGAGAGGATCCAGCCTTGTTGATACAGGACAGGGAGAGGAGAAACCAGTTACTGGGTCATTCAACACACACACAGCACATTTTGCTGTGCCAGGTGCTATGCTCTATTTCCACATCTGCCACTCGGGCTAATGTGTACCTTGCTGAGGAGTTAGGATTAAATGAGATAAAGTATCTGATGATTATCCTCTATTTCCGTATCATTCCTGTACAGTCGTTACAGGCTCAAGAACCAGACCTGAGTTCAAATTCAGACCCCATCACTGACTGTGTGTCTTTGGATACTTCCTTGAGCCTTGGTTTCCTCATCTGTAAAATGGGAGTGAAGTCTCTCCCTTCCTGCTTGTGAAGATGAAGTAAGACATGAACTTAGCAGACACTCAAATGTTACAGGCCCCTACTGCTCCTTTTTCCAGAATAGGGCCAGGAGAGCAGGGTCCCATCCAGTTTCCAAGCTTGCACTCCAGGATCATCTGGGGTAGATGGACATATTTCTCCTTGGCAGCTTTCTAGAAGGTTCTGTGGAAGGCCTGCCTGAGCTAGGGCCACCTGTGGGTATGGCTCCTGTATCTGCTCTTCCTCCTGGCATGTGTCTGGGCAGCTTCCCATGTGGCCATGAGGAAGGATGGGAACTGAGACCTGTAGGGCATGGTGGCAGCTGGCTCTGCTTCCCCTGCCCAGAGGTGTTCTTGCCCCTGCCTGGCTCTCCAAGACCCTCCACACACTGCGGCAGGCTTGACTCCTGCTTGCTGAGCATCGACTATATACAGGGTGGAGAGAGTCCTGCCCAAGTGCTCAGTTCCATCTGCTCACCGCATTAGTGCTCTGTCTCTGTTCAGGCTTCCTTCCAGCCTACTCTCCACCCAGTGGCCAGGAAAAGCTCTGGAAAGATGTTGCCCTGAATTAAAACCCTTTACTACAGCTCCAGGATCTCCAACAATTCCTGGCCTCTTCCTGTTAAGGACACTTAGTGGCCGCCATGTCCCCAGCCTGGCACTGTTCTCCCTCTCCTTGCTTCCTGCTGACTGACTCCTCTCTCCTTGTCTCCTCCAAGAGTGTTTTCTGGACATGCTTTCTATACTACTCCCTCTTTCCGTGTATTTTTTCCACCTTGCTGCAGTTCTCAGTTCCATGTCTTATCACAGCCTCTGATTTCAGAAAGGTGTGTTTGTTTCTGGTCAGCCAGGACAGGTGGCACTGCAAGGACAGCTGGCCCCCAGTCTGAGCTGCCCAGAGCAAGGTGGATGTTCTAGTTCTTACCCACACGCTGTCCGCCACCAGCCTCCAGTGGGGTTTCTGCTCATTGTGGTCACTCAGGGCCCGGGCCTAGGGGACAGACCCCACCCTGACCATTGCTGTTGTGACAGAGCAGAAAGGGAGCCTGGGAGGTCCAGTGCTGACATTTAAATGCTTTCCCTACAAGTAGTGCTGAAGACTCCTCATGCCCTCTGATGGGGCAGACAGCCTCCAGTGACCCCCTCCAATTCACTACGACTTCCCTGCTCTCAGAGGCTTCCATGTGGTAACCTGAAATATCTCAGCAGGCCAGTGCAGCCATGGCATCACCCACCAGCATTTAAAGATGGCCGACTCATTCATCTTCAGCTGGCGAGTGGCTCAGGTGGTAGAGCACCTGCCTAGCAAGCATGAGGCCCTCAGTTCAAACCCCAGTACTGCCAAAAAAAAAAAAAAAAAAGAGTTGGAAGAGTGGCTCAGTGGTGGAGTGCTTGCTCAGCGTGCGTGAGGGCCTGGGTTCAATCCCCAGCCCTGCAAAAATACAAACACACACATGTGCATACATGATCATGCCTGGATTGTGATGTAATTGATCTGGGACGGGGCTCAGGCACTGGGGACTTTCCAAAGCTTCCCAGGTGGGAAGCCAGGGCTGTATTGCTGCTCTAATCTCTGGATTTGTGATCACATCATTGCTTTGTTCCCTGTATGTGTCTCTCTCTCCACAGTCTCGTTTACGAGACTATTAATCCAGGGCGAGCTCCTTCTCGAAAGATTTCCAATGATCACATCTTTTGCCATACAGGGTCATATTTGCAGGTTCTGGGAATTGGGATCTAGATAGTTTTGGAGGGCCACTGTGGAGCCTTATACCCCAAGCCAGTGGTCACTGTCCCTCCTTGCCACTTGATGGCGTGGCCCCTGCACGGCAGACACCTCTAGTCCCTCCCAACTCTCTGACCATTCTTCTGTAGGTTCCATCTCTCTTGCATGGTTATGAGTGCTGGTGGTCTGGGGTCTGGTCCTAGGTCTTAGTCTCAAACACTTGACTGTGGTGGTCTCAGTTGCCATCCATGAGAGAGTCACCAGCTTTGTGCCCTGTGATGGCTCCTGTGTGTTCTTAGGAGTGAGCCAACTCTTTTTGGTCACTACCTAGTGGTCCTGTCTTGCATCACCCCAAGTCCTGTGATCGCCCCTCCTCTGACCCTCCCATACACTCCACTCCTCCTACCCATGTGCTGCTCCTGCTGCCTGGGATGTTCCACTTTGCCCTGCCTAATCAGTTTCTCTTCATACTTCTGGATTTCTTTACACTTCAGCATTTTGCTCTGTTCTGCTTTCTCCAGACAGAGAGTTTCTGGACTCTAGGAGGCCTGGGACTGTGCTTGTACTTCTTAGGGGGTCAGCTTGGTTTTTGTGACTACATTTATGGATGTGACATTGTTTGACACTTTTTCCCCTTGCTGGAGTGAGATGTGGTCCTCTGTATCCCTAGTACTTGGCAGGGGCTCCATAACTTGTCAAATGAAAGACTTGGGGCTGGAGGAGTGGCTCAAGTAGTAAGAGCACCTGCCCAGCAAGTGTGAGAACAGGGCTGCTCCCCAAAAAATCATACCTTGAGGGCTGGCTGAGTAGCTCAAGTGGTAAGAGAGTTTGCCTAGCAAGCGGGAGGCCCTGAGTTCAAACCCCAGTACTGTCAAAAAAAAAAAAAAAAAAGACTTGGAGGTGATACGTATTCTGCATTCGCTGTGTGCCTCGTGCTCGGTGGCCATTAATGTGATCTCAGCCCTCATGAAGCCCTAGGAGAAAGGGGAGAGATTCTCCCCTTGTGACAGCTGAGGACACGGAGGCCAGGGAGTGATGTGTCTCTCTCTAGGTCACTCCATTACTGAGTGTAGGAGCCAGGGCACCAGCCCTCACTGCATGATGGCTTCCCCACAGTGGGACCCTACCTCTCTGGTGAGATCCTCCCCACAGCCCTGTGAGGCCTAAAAATAAGAACAGATGCTCAGAGAGGTAAGGTGACTTGCCGGAGGTCACACAGCTGCTTGATAGTTCCCTGGTCTGTGAACTTCAGAGTTCCAGTGCTGAGCACATTTTGAGAATCCAATAAACCTTTGACCCAAGGGAGAATTGGGGTCATTTGGTCAGGGAACCCAATAACTAACTTGACCCCGAGCCAGGGTGTGAGAACTGCTTTGTCCCTGGCCAGCTGGATGACTGCAGGAGAGATCTGATTACTCTGAGGTCCTGCTGAGGAGGCCTAGCGTTTCAGGGCCTGGACCAGGTTTCTTCTGTAGGAGGCAAGTCTTCCAGGTGCACCTGGGGCACCCTAGGCCAACAGCTTCCCAGTTAGTCCTCTCCCCAGCCAGGACAGCCAGCTTTCTTACCTGGGTTGTCAGTGTCCAAAGATGGCCACACCCTGGCAGAGACATCAGTTCAGAGTTTTCTGGGTCTTCTCTGCCTGAAAAAGTTTTCTTCAGGCCAGGGAATGGGCAGTGATAACATCCCTGAGTTCCCTGTCTCTGGTGCTGCTGTTCCTCTCTTGACAGCCACCGTACACATGCTGGCTGAGAGGAAGAGCTCTTTCCCTTGGCCCATAGCTGTCTACCTCTACAGTCTTTTTTTTCGGCGATACTGAGGATTGAACTCAAGGCCTCATACTTGCTAGGCAGGCGCTCTACCACTTGAGCCAGGGCCCCAGCCCTTTTTGCTTTGGTTATTTTTGAGATAGGGTCTTACATTATACCCAAGCTGACCATGATCCTCCTATGACAGGAACACCCCACTACACCCAGCCCTTTGTTGAGATGGGGTCTTTTGAACTTTTTCCCTGGCTTGGCCTCATGCCACCTCCTGAGTAGCTAGGATTACAGGCTTGAGCCACTGTACCCAGCCTCCACTGTCTTTAAATCCTTACAGTTGTTCTTGGACAAGGAGGTAAATAGTTCATAATTTTTCATTTAAGGAAACTGGGGCTCAGAAAGTTCTAGCATCTTGTCTGAGATCACCCAGCCACGGAAGGGTCAGAGCTGGGAGTCAAGCCAAAAGGGCTGTCTCCAGAGCTTTGGCTTTGTGTGTAAGGTGCCACACATCACTTAGCAGATTGTAGACAATCACCATGGTGGCCAAGTGCTCACTACCCTTTCTGGAGTACTAGACAGAGCATGTGTTGTCAAATATTGATTCCTGACAAGCTAGACTTGAGCAGCACCTGCTTTTGAAAATGGCGTATGATTTTAATTATTTCTGTATTTAATCATTCATTTATTCAGTTACTTTGTGGTGCTGGGGATGGAACCCAGGGCCTTGCACCTGCTGGGCACGTGCTCTACCAAGAGCTATATTCCAGCCCAGAGCCTGCTTTTTAAAATTGCATTGCAGAGATTCCCTAGCTCAGGGAGTCTGTCATCCATTCTTTCTGTTAAACTTGGAGTTGGTTCAGTGAGGTGGCTAAGAGCAAGGGTCTCAATGTTTGGCTTGGGCTCAGTGGTTCCTACAGGGCCTTGACTGGCTTTGTGGCTAAGGAACACAAGTTTCAAGATTGGGCTTAGGTCTCAATTCTGGTTCTGCCACTCCCTAGCTGTGGTTAACACACAGGGTTGGGTTCTTGATTCTGTTTCTTACTGGCTCCGTGGCCTTGAACAAGATGGTTAACTTCTCTTAAGCTCAGTGTTCTCAGCTGTGAAAGAGACAGAGCCAGGGGTTGAACCCACCCCCACAGGTGAGATTAAATAAGATGGTGTAAAGAGCACAGTGATGGGTATGAGGTAAGTGTCCAAGAAAAGGTGGCAAGCGGTCATCCTGGCTAGTGTTAACATTGTCCCTGAAAGGGCCTTCAGGCTCACGGCACTCTCTTTCTCTCTCTTACAGGTGGAACTTCACGTCCACCTGGATGGATCCATCAAGCCTGAAACCATCTTATACTTTGGCAGGTAAGTCCGCAGCTCCTTCAGACCCGCTGGAGGATTTCAGGGTGTCTGCTCTTTCTGGATCCCTACAGAAATTAAGCCAGTCCCTCCGTCTTCAAGCCAGAAGAAGGTGATCTGTGGGGACATTTCTGCTCTGTGACCTTGGACGCTGTAGGTTGAGGGGAAGCACAGGGCCTTCCCTGGAGCTATGGGGAGATAGGGCCCCTCCCACCCCACCCATGCCCAGTGGACCAGCATTCTTCCCCCAGTGTGGAGCTGGAAGGATCCAGCTCTCCTGCGTTGTGAACATAAGCTCTGTCCCATAGGCATCCCCTCAGGTGGTCCCGCCCCTCGGGAGGGGAACTGGTGACCCTCGGGATTTTGTCCCAACTCCAGAGCATCTGTTCCAACTCCCTGGGAGGGTTCTTCTAAGTCTACTTTCCTCTGTCTTGCACTTCCGGTGACATTTTCCTGTCCTCAGAAACTGCTGTTGATGTGATGTTTGTTGAGCTGAGCAACGTGACCACTCCTGTCAGTCCTTCACCCTGGCTAACTTAGCAACCCCTCAAGCCGCTTAGGATAAGGGAGCTCTTGCTGCCCACCTTATGGGTGGGAGGACAGAGCTGTGGCAGTGAAGGAACTCGCCTCGTAAGCCCAGGGCAGAGCTTTGAGTCCAGAGGCCTGCCTGGCCCAAGTCATCCTGAAGCCACAGGTTTTGGTGAAGTAATGCATGGAAAAACACTTAGCTCAGGCATAGTGCAAGGCATTCTATGATAACATGAACTAGCACCTGTGGCTCAGGCGAGGGCGTAAAGCCCATGGCTTTATCTCAGCCTGTCCTTTGCCCACTTGGATCTTCCAACTGTTGCTGCAGGGCCCTGCCAAGATTGTTAGGGTGGGACACTGAGATGGGATCTAATCACAGCACTGTTCAGGGGTCACAGAGTGCTCATTAGCAGGAATGAAAAGGCCAAAGTGCGCTGGGTGGGGTAGAAGGAAAGGGTTGGGAGCTGCAGCATGGGCTGCTGATCTAAGCATACTCTGAATGTGGCCGCCCTGGCCTCCCCATCATCACAGTGCTCTGAGCCACTTCTGTCCCCCCTTGCCTCTGGCAGAAGCCTCCTGTCTAGCTGCAGGCTATCCCCAGTTGTCCCCTGTAGCCTCCCCTTCTGCTGAGCTGTAGGGCTGTGGTCAGAGCCATTGTCTCCAGACACAGGCTGACAGCTCAGTCCCCTGGGGACTCTGTAGGGACACTGTGACTGGACATGACCTTAGATGGGCCATTTTGGGGCAGGCTGGCCAACAGTGGGAAACCCAGCTTGGTGGAACCAGTAGGCACTGAGCAGCTGTCCTCTGTGGGATAGAACTGCACGGACACCACATGTCTTATGGGATCTAGGGCTGGTGAGGAGCCACAGTGGGCTGACTGGCAGACTGGTAGGCACCAAGGTGACATTGGTGATGTATACTGGGCACTCATAGGGACTGGTGCTACCAGATAGGGAAGGGGACTTAGGGAATAGGAATTTATGTAGGAAAAGACTTTTTTTTTTTGCAGTACTGGGGATCGAACCCAGGGCCTCATGCATGCTAGACAAGTGCTCTACCACTTAGCTACAGCCCCAGCCCCTGAGTGTTCCCTTTTTAAAAAGAGACTCTTGTTTCAAGGAGGCATTCCCTATTATTTCTTTGAGGATATTTACTTTAGATGTTTTTAAGTTCTCATCTCTGCACCATTTGTTTCCTCAGAGTACCTTTTGTCTAATTCTTGTTTTGTCCCCCATGTTGAAAGCATTTCTTTTTTATCTTGAAGGTGGAGAAACTGAGGCCCAGGGTGACCCCCCCCCCCGCATGAGCCAGTGCTAAGTCAGAGTGGGATAAGGAAGGAGCATGTAAAGGAGGAAACCACCCGAGCTGTCACCCCACTTCCTGTAGCTAGAGACACTGCTGGGGAAGAGGGCTCCAAGCCAGAGGGCCATTCTCGGTGACCTTGCTGAGTGGAGCCACTGCCCAGCCCTGGCACAGGGAGGGGATAGAGACTTGAGCTAGGTGGCCAGCACACTGGGCCCTACTCAGGAGCGGCCACCCAGCCCTCTCAGCATTACACATCCTGGGCAGGCCGCTGTGATGTGCCAGCCAGAAGGAGGGTGGAGGGGGAAGTCTTGGCGCTGTTTCCTGCCCAGGAATTATGACGATGCAATTATTGTCTCCAATAGCTCCTGAATGGGCACAGGTCCAGATGATTCTGCCCATTCTTGAGGCTGAGGAGGAAGTGGTGGGCTTGCCTGGCACTTGCCTGGCTCCAGGGATCAGCCCATAAGGGCTGTGGTGTGCATGTGTGCCTACAAATGGACTTATACCCTTCTCTGTCCCCTTGAGATTTGCTGACTTATCATGGCTTAGGGCCAGAAGAAGTCCTGGAAGGATTCCAGTCTTGGTTCTATAGCCCTGGACCTCAGTTTTCCCATTTGTCCAAGAGGAGGATCTGGATGGAGAGATCCCCATGTTGCCTGCTGGGATTCTGGGTTGATTGCATCCTGTCCCATCAGGCCTGGCTGGTCCTCCACCCTCTCTGTTTTGTTCCCAGGAAGAGAGGGATCGCTCTCCCAGCTGACACAGCAGAGGAGCTGCAGAACGCCATTGGAATGGACAGACCGCTCAGCCTCCCAAGCTTCCTGGCCAAGTTTGACCTCTACATGCCTGTCATTGCGTGAGTTGCACCATCCTCCAGTCATGGGGTGGTCAGCATCCATCCCATGACTAGGATCAGGACTGGGCCTCAACCTGGGGTGCTGCAGGCAACTGTTGAAACCCCAGCCCTGCTCTCACTGTTGCATGCGCTGGAGCCAACCTCTTCAATGCCTTGTTTTCCTTTCTGAAAAGTAGGTGCAATGCACCAAAACGCCTTCAATTTCTGGAGAGAAGTAGCTACTTATGGAAGGTCAGAACAGAGCCTAGTGTCTGGCTTCTCATGAAGTACATGTGATGTGGGGCAGCTGCCCTCTCTGGGCCTCAGCTCCGAAAACAGGTGTGGCCTTGCTGAACACGCGTGAGGGTGGAGCTTCTGTCCATCTGTAATCCCTGGTGGGCTCATTGTCTCAGCCACTCAGAGGCAGCTTCCACATCTCTGGCCACAAGGCAGAAGCTTCACTTCCTGAAGGCCCATGCTGGGCGGGCGGTTAGATGTTTCATTTAGAGCTCAGGGTTGCTGGGGCCACAGCCCACTGGGAGTTTGATCTTCCTAGCTCATGGGACCATCATACATGGGAGAGAAAGAAATCTTTGGCTAGGTAAACAAAGGTCCAGAGAAGACATGGCAGAGCAGAACAAGGCCTGAACTGGGGTCTCCTGCCCCCTGGTTCAGAGCTTGGTGCTAGAATGGGAGGGAGACAATGGTCTGGGATAGAGAGCGAAGGACGCTTGCTTTCCTGTTCTGCCTCAGCAGGTGGGTAGGAAATTTGCTGTGACTGAAAAGGTTCAGGAATGGGCACAGGGGAGTACCAGAGCCATCTCCTGACCCTTTGAACCCTGAGGCAGCTCCCTGCCCCAAACTCTCCAGCATCTCCCTGTCCCCACAGTAAGAGCCAAGGATCCCATGACTTGTGCAGGACCTGCATGTTCTCACCAGGTAGCCGCCCCAGCCCCTCACCCCAGCCCTCACCTGCGCGGCGCCCTCCTTTTCTTTCCTTGGATGCCAAGCACACCTGGACCTCGGGACTTTTGCCCAGCTGTTTTGAGCCCTGCACTTTCTATTGAATGTCACTGACTGACCTGCTGCATATGTCACTTGTTTGCTTGCCTGGCTCTCTTGCTAGAAGGTAGGCTCTGTCACTCAGGGCCTAGGACAGTGCAGACCAGCGTGGGGCTCAGCACTGGCTAGGGAATGAATGAGTTCCCCAGCAGTCAGGGAGATGGGAGCAGCTGGTGTCTGGGAAGTGCAGTGGTTGCTTTCCTTCCCACGGCATCGCTTCCTCATGCTCTCATGCTGAGCACTTCCTCACCCGGGGAGTGGCCTTATTTCCCCCAGGGCTAGGCACTTTTTCCCCCTGGGGCTCTTGGAGCATTTTCCTACCTTCCCTCCTTCATTCTACTAATCATTGTTTCATTCACTCTTTGTGGTGGAAACTTCCAGCTAGGCCTGGTCCACTGGCATTTGATCAATACTGACAGAGGCCCTTACAGGAGTCTTATTTCTGGAGCCCATACTCAGTAATAACTAGAATACTTTTGGCATTTGTCTTCTCTGCTACAAGCACTGGTTGAGGTGAAGTTTATGATGTTTAGCTCATTTGTCCTTTGATGTAGGTGTCAGAGAGATTGGCTAATTCAGGGCCACACAGCAGATAAGTCTGCAACTGAGGCCCAGGTGTCCCCATTTCAGAATCCCTCTTGACTCACTCATCTGTGTCCTTTCACTTTTCTTCTCTGCCAGTCTTACATCCATCATTCAAAACTATTTGGTTACTATGTCCTAGGCGCTGTCCTTGGCTTAAGGATCATAGCCATTGCAGGACAGATGAAGGGTCCTTGCCTCACGGAGATCACATCCTAGCAGGGAGATGGAAAATGACCACTCAAGAAGCCATATGATTTGTAATTGTCCAGTGGTCATGGGGGCCATGGAGAAAGGTGAAGCCAGAGGCAGGGCTAGAGAATGATAGGGGTCCTTTGAGGAGAAGGTGGTCAGAGAAGGCCTCGGGGGAAGCTTGAGTTGACTGTAGGTGGAGGGAGGGGAGTGCGGGACAAGTGGGGCAAGTGGATGCCCTCTGGTGGAACTCTCACCCAAAGGCCTGAGGTTGGAAGGAATAAGCATGACTGTCCTCAACAAGAAAGAAGCTCTAGTGGCCTCAGAGAATAGGAGAAGCAAGATGCTGGGGAGGGCCAGTCATGCCTGTGGGCAGGGAGCTGGATTTCATTCTATGTGGTTGGAGGCTATTGGGGCTCAGAGGAGAGGAGCAACATGCCATGGTCGACCTCCAACCCTGCCACCATACACACTGGAGATTGAACACAGGTTCTTCTCCTTGCTAGGCAGGCACTTTACCACCTGAGCCATGCCTCCTTTGGCGTCTTTTTAAAAATTTTTCATTTGTGTGTGTGTGTGTGTGTGTTGCATGCTAAAGCAAGTGCTTTACCACTGAGCAGTACTCCCAGCTCCTTTCAAAAGATTGTTCCTAGCCAGGCACCCGTGGCTCACACCTGTAATTGCAGCTACTCAGGAGGCAGAGATCAGGAGGATCAGGGTTCGAAGCAACAGCCCAGGCAAATAGTTCACGAGACCCTATCATGAAAATACCCAACACAAAACAGGGCTGGTGGAGTAGCTCAAGAGGAAAGTACCTCCCTAGCAAGTGTGAGCTCTGAGTTCAAACCCCCAGTACTGCAAAGAAAGAAAGAAAGAATGAATAAAATGAATAACATAAGATAAAAAGGTTGTTCCAGCTGGTGTGTGGAGAAAGTACAAGGCAAGCATGGAGACAGATGCTGGTTAGGGACAATGCGATTAACCAGAGTGGAGAGGGAGAGAGTGAGGGTAGGCATGTAGGTTGGGAGTTGAGATGCCAGGACTTGTGGAGAATCTGGGATCTTACTCAGCAGATGCCTAGAGCACGGGGCTGAAGAATGAGGTATTGAGGGCTGGATGTGGTTCTGATCTGCCGAGGCTGAGGATGGCCTCACTTGCTCAAGGGACTTGGAGAACATTTGTCCTCAATTCCTTTCTTCGCTTCTCAGGGGCTGCAGGGAAGCCATCAAAAGGATCGCCTATGAGTTTGTGGAAATGAAGGCCAAGGAGGGCGTGGTGTATGTGGAGGTGCGGTACAGTCCACACCTGCTGGCCAACTCCAAAGTGGAGCCGATCCCCTGGAACCAGGCTGAGTAAGTGACAGCACCGGAAGGGGCTGTGCTGAGGGTATGACTTGATGACCCAACCCTGAGACTAGAGGGTAGGCTGTTGTGAGCTCTGACACTGGTGTGGTCCATGGCCACGAACAGGTTTAACTCATCCATAGGAGAGATGGTTTCCATTCCTTACCTTGGGATTATATTTCTACCTTGGGCAAAAGCATTTGGCTGTTTCACTGCCCGTGGCTCTGCCTGCCATTGGGAAGGTTAACTTGCCAGTGACTTCTCATAGCTGAAGTGAGTCTGGCCCCTGCCTGAAACCCCTCAGATCTCGAAGTGGTATCATGAAGTCCCCTTGCCCCATCTCTGAGCTGTAATTCTGGCATATATGGAAACAGGAATCACCAGGTCCAAACTTAGCCACATCCTCATCCAGGGGTGGCGAGGACTGAGTCTGACATCCCCGAGCTGGGATCTAGAAGTGTCCAGACAGCTCTAAGGAAGTGGGCGGAGGTGTGCCAGGACATGGGACCATTTCTGTCCCTTTCTTCAGAGGTAGGTCAGGGAGAGGCCCAGGGCTGGCCTTCAGACTACTCTCCTCCTCTCCCCACACAGAGGGGACCTCACCCCAGATGAGGTGGTGGACCTAGTGAACCAGGGCCTACAGGAGGGGGAGAAAGCCTTCAACGTCAAGGCCCGGTCTATCTTGTGCTGCATGCGCCACCAGCCAAGTGAGTGTGATCCTGCCCTACCTGGCTGCTCATCACTGTGACCCACCTGTGACCTCCCTGGTGCCCATCTCATGGTATTCCCCAGCACACTGGCATGATCCTGGGGCTTCCTAAAGATACTAAAAACCTCCTAGGCTGGTTCAGAACTTCCTGGTGACACTTTTTTCCCTCAGGGAGACTTTCTTTTTTGACGGTACTGGAGTTTGAATGCAAAGCCTTGCTCTTGTTAGGCAAAAGCTCTACCACCTGAGCCATGCCCACAGCCCAAGACAGGGTCTAAACAGCCACATGACCTGTAAAAGTCTCAAAACCAAAGGAGCCTAGACAATTGAAAAATACCTAGATCCTCAGTACTTGCTTAACCCTGGGGGCCAGGCCTTGCCCTGTCTGGGCTACAGCCTCTGCACAGGTCTGATTTCTGAGTGGCTCCCCTTGTCATTGGCACTGATCAAGCCTCTATGGCTTGAACTTCATGTGCAGAACCAATCCTGTGATCTTGGGCAAGTCACTCCACCTCTCTGGACCTGTTACTCCTTGCCCCCAGATGGCTGAACTTACCTCCTTCCTTCACCTAAGGATCAGTGGGCACTAAAGCCACGGTTGATGCCAGCCTACATGGCCTGCTCCAGTTGGACAGAGACTTGTGTGCATCTTCACTAACCCTTGCTGTAGCCTGGGAGGTGGGATGACCACTGCTTATTCCCATTTGACATATGGGGAAACTGAGGCAGGGAACAGCAAAGCCTCTTGCTCCTCAACCAGGAAGGCACAAAAAGCCTATGTTCATTCATTGTTTGTAAACACATCATAGTAACTTTTGGGCTTCTTCACATTACATAATTTATTAGCAGTACGTTCAGTTATACCACGTGAGTTACATCTTATGTTTGCTGTATTTCCTCATCCTCCAAAGGGATGGTGAGCCCACCTTGGGGGCTCTTGTAGGCACTAAGTGAGGGAACAGCCCATGTGTCAGTAAGCCCCAGCTCTGTCCTCCCTGCCTTCCCCTACAGGTCTTGGCACAGCCTCGATGAAACCCTGTGCAATGGTGGTGGGGTCTCTCTGGGAAACGAGGTGTCTGAGGCTTGGACAGAGAATCTGCCAAAGGCCATGTGGTTAGGACAGAAATCAGGATATGACAAGAAAATAGGCCCTCTGTCTTGCACTGGCCCCAGGTGGAGGCATGGGACAGTGAGCAGGAGGGTTGGAAGGCCTTGTTCTATGGTGTTGCTGACAAAGCCCTGGTGGGCATCTCAACAGATTGGTCCCTTGAGGTGTTGGAGCTATGTAAGAAGTACCATCAGCAGACTGTGGTGGCCATTGACCTGGCTGGGGACGAGACCATTGAAGGCAGCAGCCTCTTCCCAGGCCACAAGGCAGCCTATGAGGTGGGCCTAAGGAAGGGGGTTGGTTGGCCTTGGGGAGCCACAGGGAGAACACACAGGAATGGGGAGCATGGGGCCTCCTGAGTCCTCAAGTGTGTCTTGGTTAAAGTTGGTTTGGAACTGTGTGTAAGGCAAGCCTCCATTGGGAGTCCTGTGTTTGAGCATATACCTGGTTGTGATTTGTCGTTTGACCTTGGACAAGACCGTCACTTCTCTGGGCCTGTTTTTTGGTTCTACACTTTCTGCTCAGCCTCAACCAGGTCCTATTAGTTGACTTTCTGGTCTTTAGTTTCCCCCTCTTTAAAATAAGTATTATAATACTTACGAGTACTAGATAATGTATATGAGCCTTTGTGTACAACACCTGACACATAGCAACTGTGGAGTAAGTGATAGCTACCACTAGATCATGACTGGGGGAAACAAGTCTGGACTGTCCCATGCTATTGAAGCATGGTGGAAATGGTCAAGTCTGCCAAAACTCAGACCTAAAATCTCACGAAGACAGGACCTGCCAGGGCCCTTCCTGGCCACCTCTGACCTGGCTCTTCCCCTTCCAGGGGGCTATGAAGAGTGGTATTCACCGTACCGTTCATGCCGGGGAGGTGGGCTCTGCTGAGGTGGTGCGAGAGGTGAGGAGCTGCTGCCCATGGGCCCCTTCTTCCTGCCTCTCCCCCTATTTTCCTCACTTGCTCCTCCCAACTTCTCCCCAGGCTGTGGACATACTCAAGACTGAGAGGCTTGGACACGGCTACCACACCCTGGAGGATGAGGCCCTTTACCACAGGCTGCGGCAAGAAAACATGCACTTTGAGGTGAGGGGCCAGAGCTGGGGGAAAACCGTCCCTGGCTATCCCAACCCTTTCTAAACAGAGAGGCAGAAAGCCAGGTGGATCCCTGGGGCTGAAGGAGCAGGCGAGCCCTGCGGGGTGGCCAGTGAGCATTCAAGCACTGGGTGGTGAAGGGTCCTTGTACCGCAGCAGCAAGGTGGCTCCTATAACCCCAGGAACAATATGCCACAGCAGCAGGCCCAGCCACAGTAGGGCGTGGCCTGGGGCTGCCTGCTGTGCCAGCCGCACACCTGCCCTTGCAGGTCTGCCCCTGGTCCAGCTACCTCACAGGCGCCTGGAAGCCAGAAACAGAACACCCCGTCATTCGGTGAGATCTGGTCCCCTGGGGCCCATTCAGTTTTCCTGGAAAGCCAAGGACTGGGAGGAAACATAGGGACCAGGCACCAGCCCATGCTGGGTCTTAGTATAAAGTCTCTTCTACTGCTTGGGAATCGAGCATTGATAACCCCATCGTATAAATGAGGACCAGTGCTCAGCCTGGGCTCTAGGAGCAGCCTGAAGGGCACATGGAATATGCTCAGATGGGCTGCAACTGGATCTCAGCCACCCACTACTAACTAGCAGAGCCAGAGGTCTCCCAGCTTATTCAGCCACAGCAGAATGTCTCACTACCCTAAAGGAAACTTCCACACCTCCAAGTGCCAGCCTGAGACTTTCCCATGGGGGTACCCGGCTCTCATTCATGTCTAACCAGGACCAAGACCCTTCCTCTATTCTGTGACTGAGCCCTGCGACATAGTGTCAGGCATCAAGGGGAAAAGCTGTCCTTCCCCTAAGGCGAGATAAAGACAGAACTTGCGGTTACACGGTCAGGCCAGCGCTGGGCTGCAGCAAGCCTACACAGAGGGAAGGAACGTGCACTTTTGTCATCACATTCTGATGACGAGACCCTCAGGCCTGCCTTAGCACATGGGACAGCCAAGTGGAAGCTCATGGAGATGGGGTCAAGAATCATTTGCACGGATAGGGTGGTTGAAGAAGCAATGACTTCAGGAGATGGTGGAGCAAGAGGACACAGGATAGAACCCAGGGCAGTGACATTTAAGGGACAGGAAGAAAAGACAGGTAGAAGCAAAGTCAAAGTATAGTGTCATGGAGATCTAGGGAAAGGGCTTCAAGAAGTCAACAGCGTCAAATTCTTCTACACAAGTCAAGTAAGGTGGGCGCTAGGAAAGATCCATTACACTTAAGATGGTTGTCAGGCATCATGCCGGCCACTGTCCAGGTTTGGCTGTGAAGGTTGGAGGGGCTGCTGCTCTGTAGGCCCCTCAGACCCCCCCATTCTCCCTGGCTGTTATGTCAGGCCCTTCTTCTGCTTCATGCTGGACTGGCAGGCTCTGAATTGGCAGGATGACTGAGTCTTGAGTTCTGGTGAAGTGCCTTTGGACACCCTCCCCTCCACACCCTCCCAGTTCTCTGAATTTGTTTCTCTACACGAGGGTCTGATTCTTAGGACTATCTGAGGCTGCATGAGGGTCAAAGGTGGGTGGGAGTCAATGGGTGGAGTCTGTTCTCAGTTGGGCAAAAGGAGGGCATCTCCTTCCTCTGCCCTTTCCCAGCTTCAAGAATGACCAGGCTAACTACTCCCTCAACTCGGATGACTCACTCATCTTCAAGTCCACGCTGGACACTGACTATCAGATGACCAAACGGGACATGGGCTTTACTGAGGAGGAGTTTAAGCGACTGGTGAGTGGGTGTGAGCTTTGCCCTAACACTTGGCCCTGGGATGTGTGAGGCCTGAAGGTCACATCTTAAGGCTGGAACGTCTAGAGAGACTGGGAGTGAGTTTACCTGACAGTCCACACCTAACTTAGCATCAGACACCTTCCTCAGAGATGCGGCCTGGGCAGCAGCGAACTGACCAAGGATTGAGCCTTTGCTCGTGTTCATGATCTCAAAGGTCCCTCTCCCTAGGAAGGTGTGCCCATCTGGGAAAACGTGCCCTTCAGGCAGCTCCTAACCATAGGCCTTGGTCCTGAGTTCATCCCTGCACGGTTCTCTCTGGCCCTACACATCCCACCCTGTCTTTCAAGGGCTTCTGTAACCTCCTTCTCACATCCCTGTATCATGTGGTGCTATGTTAAGAATACAGAACTGCACAGTCTCTGTGCTGGCACTTGCTTCTGAGTGGTCTGTGACAGTCCCTCCTCCATGTTCTGTGAAGAGTACAGACGTTATTAGATCATCAAGGGCTGCCTCCTTGCTCTCTGATTCCATGTTGTCTACTATGTGGACCCTTCTAGAACATCAATGCGGCAAAGTCCAGCTTCCTCCCAGAAGATGAGAAGAGGAAGCTCCTCAATCAGCTCTACAGTGCCTATGAGTTACTGCTGCCGGAGGCCACTACTGGTATGCTCCACTCTGGGCCCTGGGTAGTCACCCTACCCTGGCTCCTGTTTGGCTTTCTGCGAGACTTCTAGCAAGAGTCCTTCCTCTCAGGCAACACCAGGAACGTATGATGACTGCCTGGCTTCTGGGCCTGCTGATGGCCGCCTCTCAGCAGGGTGGCTTATTTCTGCACAACTGTCTGGAGGCTGGCCCAAGGGGAGACTTTCTGATGGCCAGTCTCCACCATTTGGCTAGCTTGGGGCATCTCCACAGCCAAGAGCAGGGAGTTGGGCCAGGTTCTCACTCTGCTTCTTCCAAGGTGGCCTTGGCAAGGCACTCCCCTGCTCAAAGCCTTAGTCTTGCCACCTGTAGAAAGGAGTTGCTTTGTGTTTTTGAACTTCTGTGATTTTGACAGTATCTTGGGTACTGGGTCTTGTCTGATTTTTCTGCTTCTCTAACTTGACCATCAGGGCAGGATCCCTGAAGATGGCATGACCACCTCTCTGAGCACTCACCCTGTGGATGGAGTATTCACAACTCTGCGGATCAAGTGACCCTGACCTTTACTTCTTCCAGGAAGACTGGGTCAGCTCCCGATACTCGTGCAGCCTGTGTGCCTGTCCATGTGCATACACACAGATCCCAGCACAGCCACATCTCTCCACTGATCATGTGTCCTGGCAGGGACCAGGGCCCTTGCCAATGGCATGTATGAATCTGAAACCCTCTTTAAGGCAACTCATGCTAAAAAATCTGGTGCTCAATAAAGCAGCTGGCGGCTGATGTGGTACAGCATAGGATGTGCATGGTCTTGGGCCTGCTGACACGGGTACAGTAAGAATGGAAGGGCCTCTGCATCTCCCACCCTGGGCAACCTACTCAACGACAGGGCCCCAGAGCCTAGTGGAGGCTATGAATGGAGATTTGGAGCCACCAGAGCCAGCACCTCATCTTCCAGGAGAAATGGAGGGGGTGTCCATTTAGATGCTCCCTGCATTCTCAGACCCTCTATTCTGGGTCTTAAGTGGAAACCATCCTTCTCAGATTTTCGAAACTGTAGCCTGTAGGACACAGAAGGTTGCAGGGGGAAGGGTTCATCAGATCTGGGCCAGGAGTGCCGTTCGTCACTAAGGGTTACCACATCTTCTCAGGGGCTTGTTCTATGGAATTCTGGATGGCAACAAAGCACAGCTGACCATGGACTTACAGAAATAAATCCCAGCCTCTGCTTTCACGGTTTAAAGGAGAAAGAATCTTACCAGTCACACATTTATTAACTTACAGGGCCTAAGTGTCACTTGTTTTGGTAGAAAGGGCAAAGAATGAGTCTAAATCCTTTCCCTAAAAGTGGATATGTGGAGCTCCATGAGGGAACCTCGGAGCTGCATAGATGATCAGAGCTGAGTTTAAAAACAGCTTTCAAAAAGAAAGTGAACTGACTGTCAGCTTCCCTCTCTGCTGAAAAAAGGTTTAAAGTTTTTTAAAAAGTTTAAAAGTGTTTTTTAAAAAAGGGATAAGAAGGTTTTGACCTCCTGGAAGGTCTGGAAGGCTGGGGTTGGAAAGGAGGGGCAGTGCTGGGATATGGTCCCGGTCCAGGTGGCCCATGGAAGGCGCGTTCTCTTGTGGGCTGCTCACCTGGTGGGCAGGGCCTGGCCTGAGCCCTGCACCAGCTGAATAAATAGCATCCCACAGTTACAGGTGCCTTCAAAGTGTACCTGGGCATGGTAAGAAGGTCGGCATGGGGAGCCTGTGTGTGTGGGCAGGGGGCTTTCCCAGAGTAGGGGCCATGGAGACCTCCATGGGGCCTCTCAGTCTGGCCTGTCCCATGGGCTCAGAGAATAGGCTGCTGGGCTAGTGCCAGGGCCCCAGTTCCGGGAGGGGACAGCAGGTTTCTCTTCCAGCCTCCGTGGGCAAAGTTGGACTCAAGACGAGGTGCTTCCATCGCTGTTCTCAGGCTGGTTGCCGGCCTCCTTGTCTGGAGAGCTTGCTTCCACCTGTCCTTCTGGAGAGGAGAGAAGGAGAGCAGGTTTTCTTGGGGTGTCTACAAGGGCCAGCCAAATTAGTAATGGTATCTAAGCCCTAGAGCAGGATTAGGGGTAAGGGTGGCCAAAGGAACACTAGCCTGCTGTCTAACATCTTACGTTTTACCATGGAAATGCACTGGGTGTTGCTAGTAGAATGAAGTCAAAGGCTAGGATTGCGCACAGGTAATAAAAGCAAGAGGCGAAGGGCTGTTGTGGTTGACATATTTGCCCAGGTTCCCCAGGAGGAGAGGGGATGTGAAGCAGTGCTCAGCAAATGGGAGTTGTTCTTAGAAGACTACGGGGCACTGAACTGGACCAGCTCGGGAGTGCCGGTGCAGCCTGCTGATGGGGTGTGTGTGTGTGTCTTTGTCCTGTTTTCTACCCCAACTAGCCAGAAACTTGGGTGGGGTTGAGGGCGAGGGGTAGAAGCAGGCTCAGAGCAGAGTGACTTGCCCAGTAAGTTGGGGTGTGAGCCAGTCTTCTGACTCCCAGCTTCTCTGGAGCCCAAGTGTGGATGGTACGACAGGCAGGCCCTGCCATCACCCACTCAATCAGCAGTGCAGGGTTAGCACAGCATCCAGGTCATGCCCAACACCCTCCCCCCCACCCACCCTGTTTGTGTCTTCTTCATGAGGTTGCTGAAAGACAGGTTGGAGGCTTTTTCCCAAGGCCTGGCTTGTGGACCCAGCTCAATCACTGATGCAGTCCTTTCAGGCTAAGCCCTTCCGTGATTAAGCAGACACACTACCCTGTACCTGGAAGCTGGTACACACAAGAGAAAACAGGCTCCGAGAGGTGAGCTGACTTGACTGCAATCACATGGTGGAGGGAACCTGCTTGCTGGCAAAGCTGGGCCCCTTCCACTGAATCCCACTCTTCCAATTAACAGCAGTCTCTAGCATTCACCATGGCCTGGGGGTGCCACTATCTCCAGGTGCCCTTGCAGCACAGTCAGGTACCCAGAGCGAGGGTGTGTGCAGAACTTGGCTGTCTGCTCTCAAGTCTGTATTGACCTCTGTACCTAGCCTGTTCCCCGGCCACCCCAAGGCCACCTTCTCCTGAGTTGGTGCCTGTAACAAAGGCTTGGCTCCAGATTCTCCTGACCCTCCAGAAGCCTGATGGAGACTGTACTCAGGGCAACATTTCCACCTTCTGACACCCTCTGACACTGAGCCTCCTCCCCAGCAAGCAGGGAGATTCTCTTTAAATTCCCCAGTGATCTGTGTTCTGATGCTTCCTCGTAAGGACCTTGGGCAGGTTTATTTGCTCTCTCCGAGCTTTGTTTTTGGACCTATAAAGCAGGATGGTGGTAGACACCTCTGCCTGGATAGTGAGGTGTAGGGCCCTCATGTGGTCATATGGCACATGGAAATGACTTAGGCAATGGCAACACTTCCTCTGTGCCAGCCTTGGCTCTCCCTTCACCGTGGAGAAAGTCCTCTCCCACCAGTCCTCTTAAGACTCCCTTGGAGTCAGCCCCAGATCAGGACAAAGTATACTACACTGCTGGGTGGTGCGTTCACCTCTCCGTGCCTGGCCTGCTGTTAATCTCACTATTAGGCAAAGTAAGACAACACTTGTGCTCCCTATATAAGGAATAGCCAAGGACAGACAAAGATTTGTGCACAGCATGCTGGGAGTGTTGACAAACATGAGCAGGTCATGGACTTGGGGAGGCCAGGCAGCCAGGCCTCCAGGCCTGTGAGGACTGTGGTTCCTCTTCCTGCCAGGGCTGCACTCAGCCTCCTGGAAGCTGTAAGTAGAGAGGCTCCACCAGGACCCTAGGCCAGGCCTGCCAGGTCAGAACCTCTGGGGTTGCACCTGGAGTCCTGCCCTCTGCCTCTGTGAGTCTGCTGGACTGAGCCTAGTCCAAACCTGCTTATGTCTACTATGAGGCTCTCTGGAAGGCTCTTAACTGGTCACCCTTGCCTGGACTCCACCACAGGTGGCTCCACTTCTTGGCAGTAAGCACCTTTCTATCCTTTTGTCTCCTTAAATGTCAGCAACCCTGGCAGACACACATCATATCCTGGGAGGCCACAAACACTTCAAGGACCCTGAATCAGGGCATACGGTTTAGAAGCACCCAGATACCCGGACCAGCAGATATAACAGCAAAGGCAGAGGGAAAGAGAAAACTAAGTTTACCAGAACTGAGAAGGACACAGAAGTGCTGAGAAAGCCTCTGGCAGCGTGCCCAGAGTGACAGCAGGGCAGAGAACAGACATTAAGTAGGCACCTCTGTCATGTGCTGAGCACCACCAGGCACCGAGGGCACAAGAGGAGTCTGCCAGAGCAGCTCAGTCATAGTAGCTCACTATGCTAAGAGGACCATGAGGCAGCTGGGAGGAAAAGACTTCCCTCTGCCTGTACAAGAGCTGTGGTCAGGGAAGGTCTCTCAGCAGAGCAGGTGTCTACACAGTAAGCAGCAGTGACCAATTGGGGGAGTGGGGAAAGAACCAGACAGGGGAACAGATGTTAATGGGGCTTTTGGGAACTAGCAGGACTCTGGCTGGGTGAGAGGGCACTAGGGCAGGAATGAGAGTTGAGGCTGGAGAGGGAAGCAGCTGAAACCTGTAGAGATGTCCATACCTGGGCCCAGAGTTTGGGCCACACCACTAGGAAGGACAGACAAAGGCTCAAGGAGACCTGTGGGGTTCTGAGGACAGGTTTTAGAAGGCTCTCTCTCTTGAGAATGTGGCATAAAAACACTATGCTCACTATGTCAACTTGCTAGGTAATCTTGAGCAAGCCACCTGACTTATCTGGGCCTCACTGTGTCAATCTATAACATGACAGACTTGGGTCCCTGGCCCCATGAAGTCTTCTCTGCTCTGTCCTCGTGGGTCACTTCTGGGCAGCCCTCTAGACTAGGGCTACACAAGGAAAGACAAGGTTATGGCCCTGAAAGGGCTGCCCAAGGGGTACACAGATACATTCTGAAGCTGTAATGCACTGAGGGAAGTGACAAAGGTAGCCCACACAGCCTCATGGTGCTGTGGGAGCAGGAGGGAAAGGACTGCAACCAGGGCAGGAGTCAGGAAGGCTTCCTAGAAGAAGGAACCTGAGCCAAGCAATGTCCTCTGGGAGGACAGAGGAAGAAGGGAGGAAGAAACAGAGGTGTCCTAGGTTACACCTGGGTGGTAACACAGACCTTCATTCAGCCTGTGGTTACCAAGCACCTGCCATGTGCAGGCAGAACAGAGGCTCTTGCTCTCCCAGAGCTTAGATTCAAACAAATGAGACCTTGTCTGAGAGTGTATGACTGGGGTGGGTGACGGTTGAGGGGAGGCCCCTCAGAGCATCTGCTACCTGAGCTGGGTGCAAGGGTAAGGGAGAAGATCTGGGCAGACAGGGAAGGCCTGCACTTTGAGAAGCAGACAAGGCATGTGTGGGATTTGGCGGGAGGTGAGGGAAGTGTGGCACGGGCAGGCTGGGCCACCAGAACTATTAAGAGAGCACTGAAGAGTCTGGCTTGGCCCTGAGTGGGATGCTACAGAGGGTTTTGGTTAAAGCATGACAGGACTGGAATCCTCTGGTTGCTGTGCAGAGGGTTGGGAGGCGTGGGTGCAGGGCAGGGATGAGTGGTGGGTGGCTAGGGCCAGGTGGTGGTACGTCCAGGAGGTGGCTGTAGGAATGGAGGTAGAGGATGCTAGGATGTGTCTTGGAGAACTGACAGGACCTGGGTGGACTGGGGCAGGGGAAGGGGGAGGGGAAGTGCCCTGAGAGTCCAGAGTCATCGATACCCTCCACCTAGAGACGGCTGAACTCTGCCATTGACCATGGGCGGACTGATTTACACGCACCTGCTTCTCTGACAAAGTGGGGGCAGTCTAGGACCTGGAAGCCAGCCTGGAACTGGGAGAAGCCCCTTCCCCATCCTGCCAGGAAGCTGGAGACATGGACTCTGACCTGATCCCTGAAGTGCCAGCTCGCCCATGTCACCAGCCAACTTCCGAACGCTTACAGCCTCAGAGTCGCCCTGGATGTCAGGAACTGCATTCCGACGGCCTGTCCGGTCACAGGAGATAAAGTCTGAGTAGGAAGACTCGACCTCCATCATGCCTGTCGCATCGCTCCTCAGGCCTGTGGGGGACAGGGATCAGGAAGGCAGAAGTGAGGTGCTGACATCATCTGACAAAATGACATTTACTACCCTTTTCACTACGACACAGAAAAGTACAAAGAACAAAACAAGTCACCTGTAATTTCACATCCAGATAGCCACATCAGCATCTTAAACAAAACACATGTTCAGTCTTTATACCGAGTAGTCATTGGTGAGCATTTACTGGTTTATCAGCATCAAGAGCTGGTGTGTAGCAACGAACAAGCTGGCATGGCGCATGCTCTCACAGAGCTTGCAATCTACTGCATGTGGCATTAATCTACCTAGAACCGAGGCTGGGTGCCCAGGACTTCAAGGAGAATGCAGCTTGCTGAAGTGGCTGCCAGGACCTGACAGAGGTCGAGTATCAGGAAATGACATTTTAGCCAAGATCCTGTTTAGGCATTACCCAGATGAAGAGTGAGAAGAAGAGCATTATAGAGAAGGGATCAGCATTGTGAAGGCTCTGAGGAAGATCTGATAAGGTGGAAAAGCAGTGCCAGTAGGCTGGAGTATGGTGGAGGGGAGAGCGACACGGAGGACACTGCTGAGGTAGGCAGGGGCCAGACCACACTTGAAATTTGGTCCCTGTGGGGTTTAAGCCAGGTCTTGAATGACAGGTTGCATTTTCACAGACAATTCTGGTGTTTAGGTGGAGCAGGCCTAGAACACAGAAGCTAGGAGGTTCCTGTGGAGCTCAGGTGTGAGAAGACAGTGGGGAGGCAGATTCTGAATGTAATCTGGAAGAGGAGGCAACAGGACTTAGTGTTTGGCTGATGGGGATTTAAGTTTTTGACATGAATACGTGGGTGGACAGAAGTGTGGCTCACTGACATGAGAAATGACAGGAGTTTTTGGGGAGTGAAGGTGGGTGGAAATGAAGGGCTAATGTCAAGCTTCCTGTGAGCATAGGAAGGATAGCATCTTTGAGGACGAAGGCTGGAGCTCAGAAGAGAGATGGGGAAGTAGGTGGAGAGGAAAGATGTAAAATGAGTAATTATTACTATCAAGATGGTGGTTAACAGCCCTGATAATAGCCTAGAGAAAGAAGAAAACCACATATATAAAGAAAAGCCATAAATGCCTAAAAATTATTTGGGGACACAGGATACACTGTGTTTTATGGCATACCCTTTGGAACAAAGACCCTGTCCCTCTCTGGGCCAAAGGCAGGGCCAACATTCTGCATAAGGCAACCCCTCCTGTCTCCAGCAGATGGCGCATCCTACCTATCTTTCCTGGGAGCCTCTGGAGCCATTGACCTGTCTGCACTGGCTCCTCAATTAAAGGAATTCCCAGAGGTGGTTCCTTCTGCAGGTCAGTTTCACTCTGCCCTTCCTCTCCCTGGGGAAACTGCTCACAGCTTCAGTATGGGGGAATGGTCTGTTCCAATAATGATAACAATAGTAATAATGAGGACAAATTATGACAACACTAATGATGGTGAAGATAACACTCACCAGATGCTAGTGTTTTATATAAACCACTAACTTAATGGTCACCACAGCCATATTAGTTAAGTGTTGTGTGACTCAGAAAGGTCTCAGGCTCCTAGGTTCTGTCTCTTCCTTCACATTACACCCGCTGCCCATGGCAGGGGTCAGCCCCTGAGCATGGTCTCCCAGAGCCTGTTTCTTCAGCTCATTTCCTCCCTTTAGAACATGACCTCCGCAAAAACAAGGACTTGGGTCTGGGTTTTTACCACAACAGAATGAAAGGCCAATCCCAGCAGCTGAGCTAATGTGCTCTGCAGCTCCCTCCCCAGACGCTCCACTCAGCACCTGGTTAAGAGTAGTTGCTCTGAATTAAATTTCTCTCTACCCAACCATCCATCCATAGATAGGTGGGTACCCATCCATTTTCTCCTCCAACTCTCTATCTGTGAGGAATGACAGAGTGACTCCTCAGGACTGCTGGGAAAGTCCTCTGTCCTTTAAAGAGTGCTGTGTTGCTGTTTTTGTTTGCTAGCTCTAGGATCTGACACCATGAGTAGGGATGACCCACTCATCTGAAATGCCAACCTTCCATGGGAACAGACTCTCTAAGGGCTTTGACCTTGTCCTTGCCCTGTCTGACCTTGTAAGTGCAGAAAGGTGACCATCCTGACATGGAGAGGGAATTCTGCCAAGCTCAAAGCCTAATCCTAGAAAACATCCACTGAGCCAATGTGCTCTGGCTGCCCCTTACCCATCCTTCAGAGAATAGCGATTCCAAAATGGGTTTGGGGAGCTCTCTGATACAAGCCCAAACATCTAACTTCATCCTCTTCTCACACTCTGCTCTTTAAAGGCAACAGCAAATGGGGAAATAAAAGAAAGATTCCTTAGAGTTGGAAATTGTGCCAGAAAATAACTCTGTGTAAACTGCCAGGACCTCTCTAGGGGGTGACTTAATATGTATCAAGAACCCTTAGGCCGGGAGTGTGGCTCAAGTGGTACAGCACTTGCCTAGCATGCTTGAGGCCCTGGGTTTCATCCCCAGTACCTAAAAAACAAAGCAAAACAAAAAATCCCTCAAATTTTTAAATATTCTTGAGCCACTAAGTCAGTTCATAATAATTTATTCTAAGAAAACAATCCAAGTTGCATATGAAGATAAATGTAAAAATTTTCATCACAGTATTATTAAAAATAGCAAAAAATTAAAGATACTAAAATTAGCCCTTGCGTAGGGCTGTCAAATGTCTTCAGTGAGCAACAAAGAAATATATACATGTTGAACTAATTTATATCTAAAAGAAACACCATTCAGGCATTATAGTGATGTTTATATCTTTTAAAGATATGAGAAGCTAGGCATGGTGGTACACATGTGTAATCTCAGCACTCAAGAGGAGGAGGCAGGAAAACCGTGAGTTTGATGCCAGCATGAACTACAAGACTCTGTCTCAAAAACAAACAAACAAAGGCATGGGAAAATGTTCACATATATTAAGTGAAAAAAAAAACCCTCAATCACATACATTAATATTTATTATGAGTTAAGAAGTTTATATTTTCTAAATTTTCTGTAGTGAAAGTACTCATTACTCATTCATTCATTCATTCTTCAGTGCTGGGGATGGAACCCAGGACATCCTGCCTGCTAGACAAGGGCTCTGCCACTGAGCTGCACCCCAGTCCATAAATTCTCTAAGTCTTAAATATGTGAACATGTGACATAAAATTCAAAAGGTGCAAAAGGAAAGACACACTCTCCACTCTGTCGCAGACACACTCCCCCTCCCCCAGCCCTGTCTTGGGTCCTTTCAGAGACAATATGCAAATCCCTTCCCTTTTCCTTTCCCCTGTTTCCTTTTACTTTTATTTAAAACAAAATTCATTTTCCATCTTTCTTTTATCATTTATGTCTTAGACCCAGAAGTTAACTTAAAGCCCAGTGAAAACAAGTCAAAAGGTGAGCTTTTGACTTTGGCTGGGGGAATGGCTCAAGAGCTAGAACACCTTCCTACCAAGTGTGAGGCCCTCAGCTCAAACCCCAGTCCCCCAAAAGTAAAATAAAATGTGTGGCCCTATTTAAAAAAGAAAATCTCAAATTACTCTGAAACCACTGCAACAGTTATTACATCAAAACACCAGAAACAAACCCAAAGATCTAAATTGTTCTTTTTATTGGATTCATGACTTTCTGTTGTCCCACTGCTGTAGACCAATTTAATTACTTCCTTATTGATGGCTTTCAGGTTGTTTCCATAAAAGTAGAACTGCCACATCAAAGGACCTGTGAATTTTTTAATTGTAATAAGCACTGCCAAATTTTCCTCCACAGAGGTTTTTATTCATTCATTCATTCATTCATTCATTTAGCAGTACTGGGGGTTGGACCATTTAAACCACGCCCCCCCCATTCCTTTTGTTTTCAGTTTGTCATCCAGATAGGGTCTCCTACTTACTATTGCCCGGGCTGGCCTCCTATTTCTGTCTTCTAAGTAACCAGGATTGTAGATGTGCCCCCTATATCAGGCCACAGGTTTTTAAATTCCTGTCTCAGTCCATTTGATGTTGCTAAAACAAAATATCTAAGACTGGGTAATTTATAAAGAATGGAAATTCCTGTCTCATAGTTCTGGAGGCTGGGAAATCCAAAGTCAAGCATCAGCATCTGGTTAGGGCTGTTCTCTGCTTCCAAGACAGTGCCCTGAACGGTACATGGGGGGGGTCGGGGTACAGTAACCTTACTTAGCAGAAGGCTGAAGTGCAAAAAGGAGTGAACTCTGCCTCATGCCATCCCATTCGTGAGGCAGAAGCCCTCATGGCCTAATCCTTTTGTAAGGCTCACCTGTGACACCAAAGCACTGGCAACGTCTGAATTTTGGAGAGGACACATTTAAACCGTAGCTATTCCTACAGATACATATGAGGAGCACTTAGTTTTAACATTCTCTTTAAGTAATTTATTACATTTTGAATTAGTACACATCAATAATATGAGGAGGTTTCACTGTGGTCATTCCATGCCTTTGGGTAATGTCCTTTGCACATGTTTACCTCCTCCATTTTAGTCCCACTCCTCATTCTCCCCCTTTATAATACAGTGTTTTGAGGGCTGCATCATGCTATCTTTGGACATCTATGTGCCCCTGTGTCCTTTCCTTTCCCCTCCCTCCTGTTGTCCCCCAGACCATCCCCTTTCACACTGATGTATAATCTTCATCATTATCATTTTGGGTCCAGGTTCCACAAATGAGCAAAAATGTCTGACATTTGGCTTTTTTAGCTTGGCTTATCTCAAGCAACATGATCTCCAGTTCCATTCATTTTCTAGCAAATGACATAATTTAATTTTGTGTGTGTGTGTGTGTAATTTTCTTTATCCAGTCATTGGTTGTTGGGCACCTTAGCTATTTCCACAGTTTGGCTATTGTGAAGACAACTGCAATAAACGTGGGTACGCAGGTGTCTCTCTTGTATACTGATTTACACTCCTGTGGATACATGACCAAGGATGGTATATTGGGGCCACAAGGTAGGTCTAT